TTTCATATAAAATTTGACAAATTTACCCCAAATTTGTATAGTAAATTTGTGCCGATTTTATCCGGATCAGCAATTAATTAATTTTTGCATAACTTTAGAAACTTATAAAATAATTAATAGTAGAACTAAAACTTGGAAGCCTGAACGATCATTAAAAAAATGACAACAAATTAAAAAAATGCTTTTATTGTTAAGAAATCACTGCGTAATTGCTTTATAAATGAGCCTAGTCTGTGATGACGAGAATTCTGCATAACTAGGTGAATTATGAAAATCGGCAAAGCCATGTATCCCTCAATGGGTTATCGAACGACCTGATTGGCGATCGTGATTATCATTTAGGTCGAAGAAACCCGGAGCTACGACCACCAATTTTTTCAGAGTTGTTTTGATTGGTTAAAATTTAAACGATAAAGGAACATTTTAATTTAATTGCAACGATTGAGTAACATCTCAATCACCAGCATATTAGTTGTTTGAGAACACCTAAGTCGATAATTGTCGCAGTCGATACTGAGATATGAAATCTCTTTTAAATCTACAAAACCAACTAAAATCCATATATACACTCTTATTAATAATTCTAGCCCTAAATCTTAACCTAATTCTAAAAAAAAAAAAAAAAAAAAAAAAAAAAATCTGAAAAATGCATTCCCAAAATTTGAATTTCTTACTAAATAATTTTTATCGATTTAGTCAATCCGATAAATGTTAAACGGCCAGGATCACTATCCGGAACCAATGTGTCTACTTGAATATAATATATTAGCAGCGTATGATCCTCCGTTTATGACACCAAGTTGAAATAAAAATTTTGACGATACCATGAAAAGTTTAACAAGAGTATTGAGTGGATGTGCTCCCGCACAAGAGATAATTGTTTATTCTTGGAAGTTCTACTATATTAAAAACTCAATTTCAGAGATTCTCACATAATTCTCATTTACTAACTAGGAGAATCATCTGAAACTGAATTTACGGCCATAGCACATGAAAAAGAAAGAATTGATCGAATGTTCTACTAATAAACTGTTGCCAAAAATAATATTTCTAACACGCGTGCTAGATGTAATATAAACAACATAGCCTCTACTTTGTTAATTTTTTCCTTTTGTTGTATTTTTTTTTTTTTTCCGATGTCATTACGGAATATAAACCCTGGAATATCCTTCAACCGTCCGACGACAACAAGGACAAGTCCTAAAAAAATTATTTAAAATTAAAAAAAAAAACAATTACCATTATAAATATATAATTTTTAATAAATAACTTACTTGTATTTGCGTTGGGCCATCGTTTCACGACACTGAAAATATTATCATAATTAGTATGGGCAATTAGTATGGTTGAATTCTTTTTTAAATTGTAAAAAGGAATGAAATGACAAACCTCATTACAAAGTGCGAAACAGCCGCACGGTTTAAGAAGACATTGGCGAGCTTCTCCATGACAAACCACACAAACACGGTCGGTGATAGGTTGGGACGTTATCTCGTATGGTATACGCCTTTCATGAATCAATGCCAACAGTGCGGCAGACTCGTCAGGTGTAGATGACATACTATTTTGCGTGAGCCGTCGATATTGCATACGAGTAAGGGGTGTAGAATACATTAAATGCGTAAGAATAGATTGCATTGTTGATAGAATATTCGATGTCGAAGCAGATGATGACGCTGATAGTACAGAAGATGTCGAAGCAAATGATGACGAAGGTTGCTGTTCTTCATGTTCTCTTAGGTCATTCCCCAATAGTAGAAGTTCATCACTAGGGATGGCAATTTCATCTTGGTCAGAATCTTCATCTATAGAATCTTCATCTTTTATATTTGTAAAGTCATCGTCATCATCCTCACGTTCATCTAATTCTTCAAAAAGAAACCTTTGATAAATTTCCTCATCCCAGTCAATGTCATCGACACCGTCCATATTATTATTATATTGTGGTGTGTTATTTGATGTTGGTTGGCGCCCATTACAGAATGATTTAAACCAATTGGCAATACGTATTATAGCCTCTACGAATACTTGAATGATCTGAAATACGAAATTTGTCCAGACAATTACACGACGCGGACCACCATTAGACTCTGTAGAAATCAAATCATTCGTATCCTGTTGTTCGTTATCATATCCACACGTTGGTTTTCTTTTGCTAGAACTATCGACAGACAACCGCGGCTTCTTTTTTTTCGAGCGTTCAAATATCGTACCTAGCGGAACGGCTATTGGTGACAATTCGTTACGAAATCCATCAACACGACTAGTTTCTATGACAATAGTACCAATTCTGTATAAAGCCATTGTATAATCCTCATGAAGTGATGGCATTGATCTAGCATCCAAGAAAAAAGTTCGACGAACGTTGCCACCAGTTACTATATATGCAATTACATGAAGTGCAACACAAATTATAATAATAGCTATCAAAGCAAGTTCTGGGAAACGAGCAAAACTTTGAAGCATTGGGTAAGTATCTGATTTAGCGAGTAAAGCATATGCATAATGAACTGTATAAAATAATAAATTAAATTTTAGATTTTGAACCTGTTTACAAAGATCTTTTAAATTAATTACAACTTACTGATTCCTGCAACGCCAATGATAGTAGTAGGTATGAGTCGATACTGGATTCCGCGTGGATGAAGATATAGAACTTCGAGAAGAAATATATCGAGAATTTCGAGTATTGCTATAAGAAGCAAGTCGGTATTTGACTGGCCTGGTGAAACATTACAGAAGTAATGAAACAATAAGGCGTATTCGTATAGAGTAGCGCTTTGTTCTCTGCCTGGCAAACTATATTTGATACAAATTAGGATCAAATGTAATAATAAACGAGAAATTACAATTTAATTAATAAGAAAAAGTATCTTTTCCTGCCTTCTATTTTCAAGGCTTGAATGAAAAGCTTTCATTACGTATACGGCCGATAATGCCTTTAAACATAACCAAAGTGCTTGATGGTCGGTATAACCAGCACCGTAATCTAAAAGCCATTGTGAGAAATACGGTTGTAAACACATAGCACCTATCGCTAGTCGCGACAAAAGAACGAGTGAAGACTTCGCCATTAGATAAAAACACGGTAGTCGAATTAACAGACGGGTAGTTTTTGGCAAAGGTCTTGGGTTACGGGGAGTGACAATGGCATTTATTCTATTGTTTAGAACGTTCTGTAACATATAGATCAAAATCGAGAAGAAATGCTATTTTTAAAAGTTATAAATGACAAAAAAAACACAAAGTAAAGGATCAATTTTTACCACAAAGATTGCCAGATATAAATGATTAGAGTATAAAAAATTCCATAAAGTAGGTTGATATTCGCGTGGTTCTAAAGGCTGCCCGTCGATATCTACTACTTCGATCCCAGGAAGCCACCGAACAACATTATCTGCACCTTTAGACACGACTTCGAGCATGAACTCCCACATAGATGAGTCTTCTTGGTCCACACTCATTATGTTCCAATATGACCGCCTCGCGATGCAGTTATAATGTTTGCCGCTTCAATTTAACTGTTCGAACGGCTGTGACAATAATGAAAATGAAGTTTGAATTATTTTTTTATGGCGTTTAATATAATAAAAAGAATTTCGCATATAAGACTCTCTCGCGTGACTATAAACAGAAATCACCAATGACATTACTATAAAACGTTAATCGCTTACTATCTCCGCAGCACAAAAAATTCTTATCACATGATCCTAACGTTCGATGTAATTGTATAAGCTTAATATAAAAACTCGATTCAAAAAAATCGATTCATCATTCTTTGGATTTTTTTTTCTTAAATATTTCGTGTTTGATAAAACCAAAGAATTTTAATATCAAATTTTATCAAGATGTGAGAATATATACCTTGTAAAGCAACTTCTGTCACCATAGAAAAGGATTTTTATTGTAAACACGTGCTAATTTTTCCCTTGATTTGTAGGTCTTCAGCTGCCGTACAACTTATTAATCCAAAGTCTGAAGTTGCCCGAAGAGGGCAAGCCCTTCAACTTAATATTACAGCTGCTATTGGTTTACAAGACGTGCTGAAATCAAATCTTGGCCCGAAAGGAACGATTAAAATGTAAGTTTATGCCAGTTTTATTTCGTGGAGCAGCGATTGCATATTAGATCTGTTATCGTTATAAATAAAATATTCACATGATATTTTATAGGTTAGTTGATGGAGCTGGTAACATCAAGATTACCAAGGATGGCAAAGTGCTTTTGAGTGAAATGGTAAAATATAATAATTATAATCATTGAAATTAAATAAGATTCAGGAGATTTTAAATAATAATAATAATAAAATTCTGATTTGGTTAAGCAAATACAAAATCCTACTGCTGCAATGATCGCAAGAGCTGCAACTGCTCAAGATGAAATTACTGGGGATGGTACAACGTCCATCGTTTTATTGGTTGGTGAACTAATGAAACAATCTGAAAGATATATTTCGGAAGGACTACATCCAAGAATTATTACAGAAGGTTTTGATCTTGCAAGAAATGAAGCGCTTGAAGTAATTAATTAATTAAAGTCAATTAAATGGTATGGTCTGAAATGGATCGGCTAACATACTATCAAAAACAGTTCCTGGACAAATTTAAAGTTGAAAGGTCCATTGATCGAGAACTTTTGGTTAACGTTGCTCGTACTTCTTTACGTACCAAAGTCCATCCCTCACTTGCAGACAAGTTAACTGAAGCCATTGTTGATGCAGTATTGACGATTAAACGTGATAACGAACCAATCGACTTGCATATGGTAGAAATTATGAAAATGCAACATAAAACAGGTGTTGATTCTCGATTAGTTCGCGGACTTGTGTTGGATCATGGTGCTCGCCATCCTGAAATGCCAAAGCGTGTTGAAGATGCGTATATTCTAACGTTGAATGTATCCTTGGAATATGAGAAAAGGTATTATCGATTATTATTTTATTCACTTTTAATGGGGCTCGGAAAATTATATTACTCTTTACAATTTAATAAAAAAATTATATTATTTTAGTGAAATTAATTCCGGATTCTTTTATTCTTCTGCGGAACAACGAGAAAAATTGGTTGAATCAGAAAGAAAGTTTACAGATGAAAAAGTCAAAAAAATTGTCGAACTAAAAAAACAAATTGTCGGAGATAGCAAAAAAGGATTTGTTGTTATTAATCAAAAAGGAATTGATCCATTATCGTTAGATATTCTTTGTAAGAATGGTATTTTGGCATTGAGGCGTGCCAAAAGAAGAAATATGGAGAGGTAATATATAGTCTCTTATGAATTGTTATATTGAAAAAATTATTTAATTATTAATATTTCTTTCACAAATAAAAAAGACTCCAACTTATTTGTGGTGGTACCGCGCAAAATTCAGTTGATGATTTAACACCTGAAGTTCTTGGGTATGCGGGGCTTATCTATGAGCATACTCTCGGAGAAGAAAAATACACATTTGTTGAAGATGTTAAAGATCCGAAATCAGTTACAATACTGATTAAAGGTAGTTAATTTATTGTTTAAATTTTTACAGAATATGCAGAATATTAAATGTGCTTGGTATATTACGCACCCTGTTAATAGGTCCTAACGCACATACAATTACACAGATCAATGATGCAGTTCGTGATGGATTAAGGGCCGTAAAGAATGCGATTGAAGATAATTGTGTAATACCAGGTGCTGGTGCATTTCAAGTTGCACTGTGCTCTCATTTAACAAAATACAAGGATAAAGTCAAAGGACGAGCGAAGATGGGAGTGCAAGCATTTGCAGATGCAATGTTAATTATACCAAAAGTGTTAGCACAAAATGGAGGGTTTGATGCACAAGATACTATTGTGACTTTGCAGGTTAATATTTTTACTTAACATGTTAATGAATTTTATGATTAAAATAGTGTCTAATATAATGAATGCTCATTATAAAAATGGTTAATAGGAAGAATATGCAGCAGGACACGTAGTTGGTGTAGATTTAAATACTGGAGAAATATTGGATCCGGTTTTAGAAGGGATTTGGGATAATTATATAGTTGTTCGCCATATGATTCATTCAAGGTATGTTTATCAATGGAATAATTTGGTACCATAATTGGACTAAATTTCTAACGAAATCATATTTAGCTCTGTTATCGCGAGCAACTTTTTACTGGTTGATGAAATGATGAGAGCTGGCAGGTCAAGCTTGAAAAATGATAACATCCAAAGCTAATGTATGTATTATAGTCTTTTTCGGGTGCAAATTAATGAATATTCTATTGGCAGGTAATTGATTATTCACAATGTTAATTTGTATACATTTGACAAAAAAATCAATAAATTAAATCGACCAATAGGGTAAATGATAATTTTTTTAATTATCAGTCAGAGAACATGTCACACTAGGGTTGCGCCTCAACTAATAAAATCAATACCGATTTGGCTATTTAATGATTTATATACACGGCATATGTTTTTAATAAATTTTATAAAAAAAGTAAGGCCATACAAATTTAATTACTTAGTTTTCATAACATGAAACTTTTAAATAGACCCGGCCAGCCGGCTTTTTTTTTTAAATTTCATATATAAAATTTTATAAAATTTATATAAAAAAAATTTTAAAACCCACCCGGTTGCAAAAATACCGTTCCTGATGGGATGAAAAAAAAATCATGACGATGCTCAGTTATAATGCGAATGCTAAGTCACGACCCGTTAGGGTGTTCAATAAACTAATTAATCAAAACATAGTTAGGGGTCATAAGTTCTGATTTTTTAAAGGGTTATTTCACGTATAAATTTATATATGAATTTGTACGAATTTAGGTATATTTTTCTACACAACTAACAGACAAAATTGTACCATATTTTTTTTTAAACTGTAGTTCTAGACTAGCTCTACACTGTAATAGAACCGATTTTTTAATAACCTATGTTAATTATTAATAAAAATTTATTAAAAAAACCGGTTCTATTACAGTGTCGAGCTAGTCTAGAACTACAGTTTTAAAAAAAAACATATACAATTTTGTTTGTTGGCTGTGTAGAAAAATGTACCTAAATTAGTACAAATTCATGTGAAATAACCCTTTAAAAAAATCCGAAATTAATGGTCATCATATATGACCCTAACTAAGTTTTGTTTATTGAACACCCTAACTGTGCGTGGATCTAGATGTCAGATTTGGAAATAAATGTAATAATATTATAATCGTGAAATTATTTAAACTGATGGTTATTTACTGTAATAGTTATCAAATAAATGGTATCAACGATGTGAAGGGCTCTACTGTGGCTAAGTTTTCATTTTTCGTGTTATCCCATTTTTAGTTTTTTTTTTTTACCTTTTAGTCAATTATTGACATTTTAGCTAGTACGTAGTATGTACGTAGTTAGTACGAAATCCAATAATACTCATTGAAAGAATTACCGCGTACATTTGTACATTTGCACATAGTGATCAACGCGAATATAGCCATATGTTTACTAGTAGTGTAGAAACTATAAATACGATGCCTTCTGGCTCCATAATAAAGCAGTTCAGTTTGAAGTAGAACTCAGTAAAGCTCACACACTCATTTGTATAAGTATTCTTGCTCTAAGTAAATTCGTATAGTGAATTAGTAATCTAATCACGTGACCAGAATTAGAACCTGTAATACGTGTAGAACTCTAACCCTAACACTCTAATTACTCGAATTAAATCTCACCACGCCTCAATCGTAGCCTGCCGCACAATTGGGTTTAGATTAGATGTGTTTGGTGTGTTGTTTTAGATTGATTTTTGTATTAGCTAATATCGCGTGACCTATATGAACAGTTGCCACCTTCTCAATGAACAACGCTTATATTGGTGACTATTGATACTGTCACGGGCTTCGACGAAATCGGCGTAGTAAGCTCGTGACTAAAGTGGATTTACCACTGAAATTCCAGATCGACTATTAGATGAGGCTTACTGGCCAAATAACGGAAATGATAACCTACATGAAATCCGAAGAAGAATTCCAAGAAGAACAAATGAAGATCAAGATGGAAGATCTTAAAAATAAGTGAAGCAAAGACTTTGATAGTAGAAACTTATTATAATTATTATTGTAAGCCCCTTAGTTATAGTGATTTGTCCCTTGATTCTTTAATGATGAAAGATATGATTTATCTCTAAGCCTCTTGAATTCATTAGAATAGTGAAAGTTATAAAAACCCAGTAATTTCTCTCTTGTAAAAAGGATCCTATTTTACAGAATTCTAATATAACTCATAAAATATTGAATAAAATCTTCAACATTAAATTATTGTCAAATCACTATTGTCATGTCCCTGGTAAATTGCCTTATCACCTAAAATTATCTATTTTCATATAAACCCTATCAAAAGGATACAATTTACCTTATAACAATACTGATAATTTTTGAAATTTACTAATAATTAATGAATAAAGCTAAACTACTAATTGTAATTTGAATTAAAACAAAAGCTATGCAGTTCATCAACTCTTTCTGTAAATCATTTGAACCAAAATTAGAGCAGAAGAAATTTTAGAAATAAAGTAAAACTATACTAAGACAATAAATAAACTAGTTCTAAACAAAAAGATAGAGCTAAAAAAATTAGTTACAGTTACTTAGCAAAGTTTTCTTTTCTACAAAACTAGTCTGTTACTAAAGAGAAAAATAAAACATTTGACAAAATTTTTGACTCTGTTTTGCAAATCACCTAATAACAAAACAAATACAAGCATGAGAAAATTTAAACACATAATCAAAATAGAAAGTAAACAAATATTAAATTAAATGCTTAGTAAAGTCAAAAAGTAAACAAACAAGACATATGTAGAAATATTTTAGAAAATCAAATTGAATTTGTATCAACCTCTACAAACAAGCAAATAGTAAAAAACTATGAGAATAGACTTGATTAAAGATTTAGCATCAGCATCACAAGAGAGAGTACAGAAAATTTATTCTGAACAAAGAAGAACTATGCTTAAAGCAGTTCATAATATAGCAAAATATCTTGGTTTAAGGATCCAGAATTTATTGCAACAATTTGCAGCATAATAGATAGTTACAGTTGGTTACAAATGCAAAAAAAGCAAGGTAAAACACTCTCAACAGAAGAGCTTATATTTATTGGAGAAGTAACAGAAGTATCAACACGTACAAAATTAGAAAAAGCAGTATAAATTTATATTAATCAAACTTTTTCTATAGTGTAGCTGTTAAGACAGTGAAAGATAAAATCCTTTAAAAGACAGACAATTAAAAAGAAAAAGAAAAAAAAGTGATAATATAAGGAAGCTAGAAGTTGCAAACAAAGAAAAAAAAAGTGTTAGAATCAAACTAGCAGAAATGAATTTGAATCAGAGTAAAGTAAATATATTAAAAGAAGATAATACAGTTAAAGCAGAGAAAAAAGTAGCCCTGCTATATACAGAATATGGTTAGGCAGACCATGGAACACAATTAGTTAATGAATAGATCTCTTTAGTCAAAAAGAAAGAGCTACTGAATATAAATGAAATTAAAATAAAGGAAAAAATTTATAAAGAAGATATTTATAGCTCTATGTAGGCACTAGTAGATGATCTTTTGTATAAGAAAGTAGTAGTAAATAAAATAAGAAAAACCCATGAAAGAAAAAAAAATTAGAAATGTACTTTATTATCTGGAACTTACCTTTCTCAACAAATGCTACAAGAATCAATAGATGTCTAAAATACTATGGTGCAACAGAAAAACTTGAATAGCGTAGTTTGGAGAAGTCTAAAGCTGCATATATAAAAGTTATATGTTTAAATAAGGAGAAAAAACAGTTGCTATGTATGGCTTGGGCACTGCCATTCAAAGAAAGAAAAACAAGCAGACTTACAAGTGGAAAATTTAATACAGAAGAATTAGAATATAGAAAAGAGTTTAGGCTAATTTTAAAACAAGTCATATACTTGGTATGTGAAGTAGCTTTACTCAAATAGCTCAAAAAAGTTAAAGCAAAAATGGTGTGTATCTCCAGAAATAGTAATGGCAATCAAAAAAGTACTGCCTTTGTGTATTTTGTATTATTAGAAAATTTAAAACAGCTAAGGCATCAACCTCATACTACTTTGATAATAGAATGAAATAGGATAACAAAATGAGTCACGAGGCATATAGAAGAGTATATAACAAGAAAATCAAAATAGAGTAGAACTTAGAGAAAGTAGTATAGATAGTTATAAATTGTATTTAAGGCAACAAAAAAGATGCAATAATCAAAAGTTTAAACCAAAAAGGCCAAAAAATATCACTAGTAATTTTAGATATAGCCAAAGAAATAGTAGTAGTTCTAGATTATGTAGTAATACTAAAAAACCTCTTAGAGAAATAGAAAATAGCAAACTAAGTAAACAAAACTATTTAGAAAATATAGTCACAACTGGCTCAAATAGAAAAGAATTGGGCAAAAAAAAAAGAAAACAAGTAGAAATAAAAATAGAAATGCAAAAAAAATTTAAAACAATTAAGTGTTTGCTAGTGATGTGCTTCTAAAATTTGCCCCAGTTGAATTAAAGAACTTGGGCAAGGCAGAAAATCTCACAACTGCCTCATAGTTGCCTAGTATAATTGAAAAAAGTGAGGAGAATGGGAAAACAATTGCTTTAAGTTACTTAGAATAGAGTTTTAAAATATTAATAAGCTTAAATTAAGCAAACAAAAGTTGATAGCACTAGCAGATTGGGGAAAAAGAGAGAATTTGGATATAATAGGTATTGTGAAAACTAATATAGACAAAAAAGATGAAAAAGAAATGAAATTAACTCAACAAGAGTACTCTAGTTTCTGATCGTCTAGAAATATAGACAAGAACAAAGATTCAGGAGTTGGAGTGCTAGTCAATGAGAAGTGGACAAAGCATATTGAAAAAGTAGTAAAATATAGCTCTTATATAATCAGAATAGAATTTTTTTTCAAAAAGGTAGTTCTTCAAGTCTGGATAGTATATTTACTACCTGCTGATAAAAAAATTAACAAAGAAACACAATGTATAATAATTAAAGAAATATGCAAAAATAGAATTAACATATATACTTGCATTATAAGAAACTTTAATGCAGTAGGTAATATAATTATAAACACAAATAATAGTAGCTACAAAAATCAGGGTTGGGTAAAACCTTAATTGAGTGGCTTAGAAATCAAGATTTTACAGACTCATTCTGTCATATAAATTCTCACAAAAAAGAGTATACCT